CGTCTACAATAAAGATATAACAGAATTTCTTCATATAACAATGTGTATTGCCATAATTAGATAGTTATATATATATATATATATACATATGAAAACCCGGGTATAACGAATTCCTCGATATAACGAAGAAAAATGTCTGCACGGTCTCCTTCGTTATATCCGGTTTCACTGTGTATTTGGAATAAATATAATAAATATTATAAATTGGTTAAGTACCCGGATACTTTACCAAAATGGATAAGAAGGGACTAGTATAAGACCCGGTACTAATCAAGGGGGTACTATACCAGGGGGTACTAGAACCAGTGCTATACGATACTTCCCCTTTAACTTACAAACTCGTCATGGAAAGTAAACTAATCTTAATGAATGATACAATGCGTTCTTACATACTATCGTTATGATTGCATTTCCCTTCTTTTTCTATCCTATCGTTTAGCCTGGGCAAGTCCGATAATTGACTTATCCAAGTTGAAGTAGGCATAATTATTCTTTAAGAAAGTATCGCCCAGAAGAATTAGCTGATACAATAAACAAACAATAATAATTAGGTTAAATGACCGACGACAAACTCGATTAAAACGGTTAATTTTACGCCCAATCTCCAATGCTGCCCATTGAACTTACCTCATTGTCGCCACCTGCGGTAATAGCGCTCATACATACTCCTACATCTAGTTGAATAACCAAATCGGTGCCTGGGACGGTGAAAGGTGCAGTTCCGAAAGTAAGCGTCATATCTGGCGGCGTTGTGGTGCATGGTATTAAATACCGGCTTTATTATGGAAATGTGTTAAAGGACATATATGGTATGCAACGCTTAATACTGTTAAAGATCGAAATACCTGGTGTCCATTTTGTCGTCTGCATAAACGTGTCGAGAGATTATATCGAAATATCTCGGTCCACTGTCTAAAATACGTAGAACAGAATTCTTAAAAACTCCTGACATCCAACGAAATTAGAACTAGACATTTATTAACCAGATTATGGATTTGTAAATCGAAGTACAAGGCATGCAGCACGAAAAATATCACGAATTCTTTCATTTAATTGGTTGACTTTTTAAAACTGACGGTCACAATGTTATCAATACACTGTCGAATTACGACTAGTCATTTCTTGAAACACCGCAATACAATGTCTATTAATAGTTTTGATTTGTGTCTTTTATTAGACAAGAAGGTAAACCTCTACAATAGTCTTGATTAAAAATCAGACACAATACATCGTCATCATGCATTTTATTCTACAACCACAGCTCCTTCATACATACGTAATGTATTCTACTAGCATCACGTGAGACCGACTGAATTTACATATAACGGTAAAGGAGGTTGACCGACTTATTGAGTAACCGACTTTTCGAGTCTGCCTTTGTATATAGTATAAATCATCGATAAAAATCAAAAAAAATTTTATGTTACGTAGAATCATTCCGAGTTCTGCTTTCGCCTATGGCACCCGCGGGAGTCAGTTCCGTTTATTATTTTCGTCAAGCGTAAAATTTCAGGAGCTTTCTGCACGACAGGAACGGGAAAGACAGGAACTACTCGAAAAGGTATCTGATTATTATAATTACCGTAAACATGAAAATTATTATATTTAATACTCCTAATACCTGACTTATTTCGTTTACAGATTTACTTACCTCTTTACGGAACTAGGAAAATGCCAGGATGGATAGAACTGCTCGAATCTGGAAAACTTTGGGAGGATTACTTTCATCCGTTTCGATGGACGTCACGAGATTATGGTATGAATTGTAACCTTTTATGTTCTTGCAACTTTTCAACTTTTTAACTAATGTATTTTCACACTCAACAGACTATCAAATAAGAGTAAAAGATTTGTTGGAGGGGTTACCGTCAATTTTGCGCACTCGAGTTGTGCCATAGAAGGGAATACATTGACAGTACATGATACACAAGCAATTTGGGAGAAGTTGAAAAAGAACAATTTGGATATTTTGTTGGAAAATCGAAAGCTTCCGCTTCCAGGACCAAGATCTCTTTCTGATAAACCGGAAAATGAAGTCATAGAAATTCGAAATCACCTACTCTCAAATTATTTGGTTAGTAAGTTTGCTGAGCTAGGGCGTGAGATTAATTTAGATGATATAAAGACATTAATCGCGTCATTTTAAGAGATACGCCAAAGGAGAAGTTTGAATGGGAAGATGAGATTTGCTATGCAGGAGAGTTTCGGAAGATAGGAGTAATGGCAAGTCACGTACATTTGACTGTTTATCCAGTAAGTTTAAATTTATTATTCATTGTCTGCCGAATCCTTTTTATCAAGATTCTTATTTCACGATTCTCTGTAGTATCCACAAGAAGTGCCTGCATTAATGAAAAGGTTTATAGAATTTTGCGATGAGTCCATCAAAAATGATAGTCTTCATCCTCTTATTCTTGCGTCTCGTGTATTCTCATCCTTAAATCATGTTCATCCATTTGTCGATGGTAATGGACGTGTTGCTCGTTCAGTTATGGCATTGTATCTGATCCGCAATGGTTACCCACCTATTGTTTTCCAGCAAATGACATCAGGTTCAATGGCAGCTTGCTTGTATACGGCACAAGCTGGTAATGATTTAACCTTTTTATACAACGTGGTGTTGCAAAATGTGATTAGTATTTTAATGAGATATAGATATCAACAATAAGGAAACAATATTATGTAATGAAAAAGTGAAAATGTAATACACGTTAAAGTAAAGCCTAAAATGTGAGCAAATGAATAAATGCTTTAATGCTTTATTAAATTGGTTACAGTAATATTGGAATTAATGAAGTATACCACGTTAAAGGGAGGAATAAAGCATAAAATGAAATAATATTATGCTTTCCGCCAAGCCCTAACCATATGATGGCGGTTCCTTCTCACTAACCCATATTATCATTACATTATAATTTTTTGCAATACTTGCATTATTGTTATTATCTAAACTAGCAATTTCTTTACTATCTACCCATCTCATAATTGACATCACTGTGCTAAATTTTGGATCCCCTTTACCATAATAAAAATTTTCTACAGTACTTTTCCCAATCTTTTCCCCGGTAAATGTCGAGTTTTACGTCTCACAGTTTCGAACGCATAGTCATTAATGTAAAAATATATGAAAGCAACTAGTCTCCCCCACTTCCTTATTCGAGTCGAATAATGGTGAATTGGATGAATTATCGATTCGAAGCCTCAGATTGGTTCTCATTCAACTGATCAAATTCAATCTCCTCAGTTCTTAGAACCATTGCATAACGCTGATTTATTTCACTTTGGAGAGTTACGATAGAAGCATTGATTGATTCGAATTCGGTTGGGACTCTACCAAAATTGTTACGGTAGTTTTGAAGAACTTGTTCGATCTCATCAAGTCTCGCAGTAGAAGTATTTAGCATTATTAAGATTCTTTGGACCTCCGCTGTAAAGTTTTCATCGCGTGAGGTAAGTTTGTCAAATTTGGCACGGTAATCGGCATCACAATTGGCAATATTAATATTTCATTAAACGTCGTATCACGTGCAGAAGGGTCGGAATTATGCTTGATGTCGATGTCTTGCTTGGTGACACTAATAAGTGAAAAATAAACGTGGCATCAACACCTCCCCGGGTACAATCAGGATATTTTAAGTTTTTTTACTGTATATACCCGGAGTACTGTATTCAGTGTCTACGTAAAAATAAGTTGCTTCTTAGACAAAAATATTCGCAATACGCCACTTTACCTGTAGATGGTTCTCTTGGGAAAGTCTATGCTTTTTCCTCAGTTTTTTCGAAGATGTGCCAAGATTGATAGTTTGAACGTCCTCTTTGGGAACTATTTTTGTCAACAACGAGTGGGATATCTGCAAAACTGCTCGCAACATATTATATTCACTTACCTGTTGGAGATTTTGATATCTACTATCACTCAAGTGACTTGAGTTTTATAAACCACACGTCATAGCTGAGAGCAGAAGAAGTTTTATTGACCGATTTTAGCTAAAATTTTTCTTTTTAAACAACTTGTTTTTTTTGGGGAAATTTTTTGCTTGGAAAATTTCATTTTTGCTTTTGAAGAAAATATATTGACGGTTTTTAAACAACTTATTTTCTTCAACTATTTTTTCTAAATTTTTGGCTGAAAAAGTCAGATGGCGAACAAGGTAGTTTAGAATATATAACTATTGACAATCCCAAAAAAGGGCCACGAGCATTGGTAAAGTAGTTAGCCACTCACTTTTAACTCCAAATTCCCCAGTTACATTCACCTATATAAGCCATCGGTCTGGTGTTTTTTTTTTTTATTTTTTTTTTTTAGGAAATAACCTAGACTACATAATAATCTTATTTCCACTCAAGCATAGTTCGTAAATTTTGTATAGATATGACTAATATCAATTATTTGATACGGTATAGGCCAAACGTTTGCTGACTCTAAAATTATCGACGAGGAATCCTTGACGGATTGGAAACTTAACACACTAATCTTAAGCTGGTTACAAAAAAGCAATGGAACGACATAATATGTTGATAGCACGAACTAATCCATACGAAAATTCGAATCGGTAGAGTAATAAAATTTACTTCTTTGTGATTGTGCATCAAATCCTAATATTGTACAAGAATTCATGACCGAAGAAGAATTTTTAGGTCCAAATGCCAAATTCGCAAGTTTTCTCAACATTGGTCACGAAAACCACTACTGAACCATCTAGAGCCCACCGCAGAAAATGTTTGCAATAGGTGGCTATTTATTATAAATTTGTTTATATGAAAATCTTATTAACGTGCATTTTTTTAGGTCAGTATCAGACCCATAAATACAGAAATAGTTAAGCTTAAGGATATCTACAGGACTGTAAAGATGCGGTTGTTTCTTGTCGAAAATTTTTTTTTTCAAAATAAATTTTCAATTTGATTTAATATCGACCATGATGAAGTTAGGATGTTTGATATATTTTAAATCAAGGCAATATTGAACAATTTAAAGACGCTTACGTATGAAGTGCCTTATTATTATGCACTTTTATGTGTTCGTGCGTTTAGGGCTGGTATTATCACAATGCACAACAGCCGAGCATTATCTTAACATACGTCTTTCTTGATTTGCGACTCTATACATTTTTACTATGACAGCAGTTTTATGTCATATCATTGCAAGTCATTGTTATTTCAATTTTTTTATAGCGAACACGGTACAATAAAATACGGGATAATTGTACAATATCTCTATTATAGGATGAAATTTCGTGGTAGAGGAGTATTTTTCTAATGTCTGTATCGGCAAGCTCTTGTTACGGCAATCGCGCGTTGCTAACAAAAATACTAATTGTAATATTACATACCAACAACATAGCTTATCAACTTATCCAGTCATCGTGAATCTCTTTATCAATCGAAAGAACACGTAAAGTTTCCATAAGACAGATTCCAACAATCAGCGGAGACTTTACACGCAAATCGGGTTATCCCAACTCTGATTCCCCATCCGACGTTGAAACTTCTTCGAGGCCGTTATAATGTATGAAGCACTATTGCTTTTTGTATCCATTATCTGAAACTTTACCCCATAGTTTTAAGTTTAATATTTCGTAACAAATAGAATCCATTACATCTTACAAATTCCATTCAATATCTCCGCTTTTAATAGCGTTGCGAAACCGTTTGCAAAAGATAAATTCGAGTATAGTCATACTCTCTGACCAAGAAAGAAAAACCTCATCACACTTATTCTCGGGTCGATTTCAGCAGAACTAACATCAAAGTCGGAAGTCATTAGAGACGAATACATAGAATTTACCCATTGTGATTAGAATTCATACACGACACGACCAAGGAGAAGACATGGCTATGACAAACTAAGCCATTCTTGATGCTGATATTGCTTGGAAGGATATTAAGCACGAGATGTAAAAATGTCGGTGCATTGAGTGCCATTGAGAATGTTGAGAGAGTGTTAGACTTTATTATTGCGTAGATAAAAGTGGCGTTTGAACCAGAAAACATTGAAGGCAAGGTAAGCTTTCATGTGAAATATGACTGAACGAATTTTTGATCTTGAATTAAACGTTTAATGTCCCGTCGTTAGATGACATTGATGCGAATGCGTAACTTGTTATTATATGCACATGTTTTACTAATCTGTTCACCGATTGTATGTCTTATTCGATCTCTTGAGCAAGACATTCAACTTCAAATTTATCCCACCACCAATTCCCATACCATTATATGACTTTCTGTCGCTCTCATCCGAGGAATTTACTACTACGGAAAGTGAATTCCACTCCATTATTATTAGTAAGATAATGTTGTTTCTGGAGGCTTTCCGAATGGTGTACGAAATTTTGTGAGGTAGTAAAAGAATAGTTGCATGTGCAATTATTTTGAGCGTAGTCTCGGCACGTGTTAGTAAAATCGCCATCAGATTCTTGGTCAAGCGAAGGAATTTCCTCAAACTTGCACCGGTGACATTTTGTTCAATATTAGATGCGAGTACAGAGTCCGAGGCTATACGATTGTTGACACAACTGGTAGAGACTCTTATAGGATATGGTTACTGTCGGCCAGCGATCTAGTCAGCAATTGTGGGGTTCTTGTTGGAGATCTAGAAGTATAAGGTGAAGAAAAAAGGTCATCAACGTACAACGGGACCTGCTGCTAAACAAGTGTTCAATTACTAGATCGCATGTATCAGATCCTGCATGATGAATCCTCTCGGGTTTATCTACTGTTGCAACTGCCGGTGGAACATGTAACCTGCTTCAGAGACATTCTGTAATGATTTGTACATTACTCAAAACATTATCAAATCTGTCAAGACCTGATATGCCATTTCTTTTATTTTATGATTCATTTTCAGCTTTGTGTTTCACACTAATGCCGCCTCTCCTTCGAGAAAATGTTATCAACATATCATCGATAACATTACTCGTGCTTGTCTTTCATACGACGTTCACAACGCTGGCTCGTCTCGGTAGCCTTTCACGATTGGAAGAACAGATTTATATATTTTTTTGTTGTTATAGTCGAAAATCTGACGAATGGTTTCAAAACCTCAACAAGGACATTAGGAATAACTATGTAAGTTAGTGACAAGTTAATAAACGGTGGATGTTTGGTTTCTCAATTTCGAAATTCTGTCCGAGGGATAGAATCTGTATATACATGCATATTGCTTTGAACGTTGTTCGATAACAAAATTGTATCATCAGCTCTATTAAAGAACCATGTCCCCAATATACAATGACTTTGTTTTGATCTCTATGACTTCAATAGGGAAACTTTTTGTGTTGTTAAGAACCGTGATGATGAACTTCGGAACTTCAATGTTATGAATCAAACATTCGTCTCTTCATTGAATGCCAGATCGAACAATTGATGGAGTCTCGCATCGATCACTTTAACATTATTTTAATTCAAAACACAAAGCGCTGCAAATAGGGGAGGTGAGCACGTATAAATGTTGCACAAAGTCGAACGTAAATTTTAATACAAAAGAGCAAAATTCAAGTATAAATTTATTTCATAATATATACTGGGATCCGTCTGTGCGAGCCTCGCGGTTGATTTACCGCGGTCTTGCAGCTCGAGGCGGGTTTCGTCGCGGTTGCGGCGGCTGCGCCATATCGACCCTATAAAACAAACATAATAATAAATAATATCTAACCTGTAATAACATAA